AAAAGTAATAGAGCTACGCTGAAACAGTTTCCTGCACAGGGGAGTAAAACTTTGCACGTAACAGTAACTTCAGGACTTTCTTTGTGTGGGCCTGGGATATATAAATACAGCAAATTCCCTTCTCCTGAGCAGTCTGTTTTGCTGTTAGCTGCTCACTCCCTTTCATGCGCCCTAACCAGCATGCGCAATTTATGTGAGAGCAACTTAGTAGAAAAGGGTTTGTTAGCCTGGAAAATTAGTTGATCACTACAGACAAGCTGGTGTGCACGTATCGATTCTAACTCCTGGGTTTGGTTACTGGTTCATACAAATTTTCTGAAACTTACATTTTTCTGGAAAATTTTTTTCCAGGTGGGGGTCTTTGGCTAAGAAAGAAAGAAAGAAAGAAACTGGTTCAGGTGATTTTGAGAATAAGGAAGGTGAAATATATACTTATCCAATTATTAAAGTGCTTTGATCTTATTATATTAAAGGACTTAAGCTCCAAAATAAAGAGGAGCAGAAAACTGAAACAACACAACAACAGAAGAAACCAAAAGAGAGGGTCTGATGCATAAGTACATTGCAAGTATTCAATGTGGTTTAATGTCTCCCTCTTATTAAAAAGCTATTATATCCTGCTCATTTGGCCTAAAATGTGGCCCTTCTTGCTTGACTCCTACAAACACATCAAAAGATACTTGTAAAGCTCCTGTGCCCCTGCAGCATCTGCTGGAGCCAAAGAAAGATGAAAACGCTTGCAACTTCTGAGAGTAGTGTTCATGTTTACAACAGATGCCTAGCTTAAGGGGCCACAATTGAAAACGTTGATTCCAAGTTTTAAAACGTTGGCCTCGTTACTTAACTGGTGCCCTGCTGAAATTATGAAAAGACATCTTAGGTAAGAGAAGGGACACAGACTTCCCTAAGGATAAAATATTGCCCATTTTAAGCAAATGGAAGATTTGCCATTGGCTCAGGAGGGCCAGTGTCAGCCACAAAGTGCTACCTTGGAGAAAGCTGCAAAACGTTTAACACAGTTGAAGTTACTTTTTGAACTAATATTCTTTTTTCTGTCATGAATGAATTTGTCGCTTTTCTGCAATTAGTAAATGTTCCAAAGTAAGAGCATCGTAATGGCAGGATGTCATCGTAATCATTACAGTTTACAACTGTAAATACGACACTGTAATAAATTTACCCCGATTTTTTACTCTCAAGAGAGTCTTTTGTCATGGTAATTCAGAAAAATAAACTAAAAAAAATATAAAAAAAATAAATCTTTGACTGTATGACAGAAAATTTCCTACAGTGTTATCACTATCACATATGACATGCCAAGTACACTCTAGAAAGCAGAGCACTAGAAAGCTTCCTTCCTTTTTTTCCAGTAAAGACTCCACCTACCCGTCCTCTAGGCCTGTTCTTTCGTTTTGGAATATCTTCTTCCAAATCCTCTTCCTCATTCACTTCATCTGCATTTTCATCATTTTCTAAAACCCTCTGCGGTTGAACAATAAACAGGAATGGTTAGAAGAAGGTGACACACACAACCAACTGCTGCTCTTCACCACAGAGACTGCAGGTTATTAAGTGACAGCTGATTAATGACCGAGTGCCAAATCAGATCCCAGAACCCCTACTTCTGTCAGCTAAAGCAAAAATTGGCTTCCCTTTCCACCCTCAATTCTCTCAGGGAGTTCTTATTACAAAAATACCACTGAGAGCAGTCCACTATGGGAAAAAAAAGCTTCCTGAGAAATAACAGTGGCATCACTGAGCACCGATATCCCAAGGCAACACGAGTATTAGCACGAATAACTGCAGGCTCTGTCTGGGAAATCGCACCATTTTCTTTTTTAATTTGGTTTCTCGCACCTTAGCTTGTTCTGTTTTCCTCTAATGTTGAGAATGCATTTTAAGAAAACAAAAAAAAATCAGTGTTTTTCTCCTTGGCAGCTCAGAATTTTCTTTGTTTAGCAAAAAAAAAAAGAGGAAATTCTTCCATATATTCCAGCTTGTTAAGAGGACCTAGAAAGTGCCATCTTTCAGGGCCTGCACCACTGGTACAGTGCTGTAATTTAGAAGCAGGGGTCTTGCTGCATGAGAACGCTGAGGAAGTACAGGCCTCACTGAAGTCAATAGGAACAACAGCAACAGTTCCTTCAATTAATTATTAAATAAGAACAATAATTCATCATCTCACATAACTGTGAGTGCCGGGCCAGGGAATTTCAATCCTTTAATCTTGATCTTTTGAAATGTGACCTCTGTAGAACCAAACACAGGCCGGCTGCTCTGCAAACATGCGCGGGTCAGCCATGGCACGGACGAAGGCAAGACAAACCATCACAACACTAAGATGGAAAGACGTCCTGTTGAAATCCCCTCAACCCTTGTCATGTCTGCTGGAAAGACAGAAATGGGTCCCAGCCACTCCCACCATTCATGGTGCGGTGCCACTTCGTAAGGGACTCATCTGGAATGGCTAACTGAGCTTTGCCCTGCTGCCATTCATTTAAATTACAACACGCAGCCATGAGGCAGCTTCAAACCAGTGACACTAAACTGACAGGGAGATTTTTCAGTCTTACTGTATTTTGTCCCTTCCCTAGAATTCCTACTTAAGAGCTGTTTGAGAGCCAGCAGAGGGAGAACAGGAGCAAACCACGGTTGCTTTCATTTCTATATACCTCAAGCGCCAAATTCTGAATTTGTGGGAAAGAATGCAACAGAAATTTCACGTTTTAAAAAGCCTGTATTTGGATCACCAACTATACAAGTTCACTCTTATTTTATGAGCTAGATTTTTAAGATTAATATCGGACAGTGCCCCTTTTTGAAAGTACAAACAACTTTTAGAACGTAGTAGAGGATCAAGTCTTCATCTGGGTTTTGCTCTTTCTGTTTTTGAATCTCAGGAGGCTATTAATGAGGCTAGACCATCACGAAATACAATATCACACAATTCTAGAGTACTAAATGCTAGAGAGTGTAAAAGTTAAGCAAGTTCCAGCTCTATGTACATAAATTGTATACGTTAATTGACTTCATTTTTGGAAATGGAAGCGCTTGGAAAATGTTGTACATGAGGAAAGCAGTGGTATGTAAGAAAATAAGCAACTTACTGATATGACTTTACATTTTCACATTGCTTCATATCTTAAAGTATCTCCAAAAGAAAAGAGAAGGCTGCAATCATATCGTACGTGAGAGGAGAAGGAGCTAGTTTACAACAATAACACTACACAAAAGCAGTTAGGAGAAACATTACAAACCACTTTCTTTGTTTAAAATTGCAGCATCAATTTAGGAAAGAGAGAATAAGTAACCAGGTATGAAATGGGTGACACTGCCAGGGTAATTACTTTAATTCTTGATAGAAGTGGCATAGCCTTTCTGATGCATGGTCAAAAGGCTAAGGTCTAAGCCTTCTCCAGCAAATGATGGAGACACACATGGAATACCAATTTACTGAAGGCAAAAATCCTCAACCCTGATAAATACCAACTGTACAGCAAATCCCAATGACTGCCTCTATTTAGCAGGGGCAACCCCTATCCTTTATAGCAAAGTAACTTTTCTTCTCCTAGGGTGTCTTTCTAAAAGTTTCTCAGCCCAACAGACTTCAGCGCAGCTGAGCACCAAATCTTCTTCTCCTGACAGATACTGGGAGTTTGAGAGGGGTGTTAAGTGGCTGGGACTGAGGTGGGAATTACAGCTACGTCTATCCCACCTGCTCACTCTCACAACCACTGAGGCTGCACCCTTTTAAGTTATGGCACAGAAGAGATGGCAGAGGAACAAAAGAAAGATTTGCATCCTCTTATCTGTCATACGGATAAAAGGCACTGATCATGATTTTGATCTGGGACAGTCTAGCTGCCGGGTGTCAAAGCACACACTGAAAGCTGGCTACTAGTAAAGACTTCGACAATCATTGTTCTATAGGCTGAATCCAAATAAGCTGTGCTTGCATAAGAAATACCAGCAAGCCATGCCTTTGGCATCTGTTCTGATAACAGGTCACTGCTAGGGCAGTTTAGCTGACAACTTTTTGTCTGTTTTTGCACCCTGTCCCTCCTCTGCAATGCCCTGACTTGTGTCACTTCCACCATCTCCGAAGTCTCTTTCCTTGTACTGCTGCTGAGGATAATCTGGAAGCTCAGATGACACAGCAACATCCAAGGCACTTGTCAATCTCATAAGGATGCTGCACCATGATGTCCTGTGACCTTGGAAGCAGGTATAAACAGAGCTTTAGGGCTCTCAGCTTAATAGACCCAGGTACACTACTGAAGAAGGAAACAGAGGGGGCTTCACAATGAGCTTTTTCTCAATCCACGAGCATGGGATGTGTCCTCTTGGATTGGGCTCCTTTACCCATGGAACTGGGGACAGGAGTCCTAATTTTGCTGTCCTGACATATGTGAAATTTCTAGCGAACAGACCGGTAGGACTGAGCTCCAAATAATATAGATTTGATGCCCACGCTCTACTGCGTCATTTGGCGTGGGGCTGCCCACTCAAATTTTTACGAGTTTCAGGTCTAGATGCATCATCTTGTACCTCAGCCAAAATTACCAAGTTTGACACATCGCCAATGGCTCCTGCTATAAATCACTAACAGAGACTCATAGCACAAAGGTGTCTTAGCATCACCAAAGATTTGCTGCTGCTCCCCCAGGAGAGGCCCACTTTCCTAGAGATTTAAGATGTCTTTATAAAGTGACATCACCTTATACAAGAACCCTTTATATTAGCTGAATTCCTTCAGTGACAGACCCACGAATGTGTTTCCACTTTTCATTGTTAAAGGGTGAAAAGGAATCTTGACAAGTAACTTTCAAGCCATAATGCATGTAAAGAGGCAATATTTCTCATACCTGCATCACTAATAATAAATGAGGTAATTAATATGCAATTTTTTTAATTATTTATTTTGCTTGTGTACTTTCTGAAGGCTTCTCAGCATAAGAAAAGACCAGACAAGGCAATAACACGTTATTGTCTACAGCCAGCAGCTGCGAATCCAACTTCGAATCCACGTTCAAATTCGCATTAAATCTGAGGCACTAAAATTCAGTTTATGGTTGGGACCCATCTCTGCTTGTCAGTTTTCTATGTAATCGTCTCGTAGTGCTGCAAAACAAATTCCTACACAGGAGCTGTGCAGAACACAGCCAAACGACCGAGATTCTCGTGACAGAAGTGTGTGAGATCCCAAGTTCGTTTTGAGCACGGCAGCGCAGCACAATGGTTTGGTAACATTCTGACAGTAGAATGACACAACCATCAACAGAGGCACTGTTCTGCCACAGGACAAAGTCTGCTGGGCTTAGAGACAAACTGTAAAATCCAGCCCTGCTGTCAGGGCACGGGGCTCTCCTTTACCTGGATTTCTTGTATAGTGTCTTCCTCTTTAGTGTCTGTTTTTTTCTCTATTCCCTCTCCACGCAGCAAGGCTTCCAGAGTTGTACTTTCTGATGTGAATCCATCCTTTTTCAGAGGCAGATCAACTTCTGAAAAACAAAACACACTGAGTGTATGTGTCTCCCCCAGACAGCTAATAAGCAGAAAGATTGATGACAGGCAGATGACTAACAGACTTTCGAGTGTGTTTCTACCTTGGAGGAGAGTGCTTCAAGTTGTTCTTTTAAATGCTAAGGATCCCCATACAGGGCTCATTTCAATCTTACTGAAAACCCAGTATCTTTTCAATTGCTGTGTTTGCTTACAGGAAAAAAAAAAAGTCTGGATGTATTGTATCAGGAGGAAATAAATGGGGAAAAATCCTTCTCCTTTATGTAAACTCCTCGCTATGCTCCAAATAAAGAACAAACCCAGGGTTTTCTAAGTTACTGAAATAACAAATACGAAGATCTTATCTCCTGAAGTCGAAAAATAGTTTAATGCAATTCAGCACCTGGCACAGTTTACACAGCACAGCTACAAGTAGTAGTCTCATACACCAGGGCATGTCTCACATGTGGGAAAGCAGAAAGCTGGAGTGTTGGGCCAATGCTGAGAACTTAAACTGAAAAAACAAAGGGACGTGTCTTGAATTTTCCTTTAATATTGACTGGGCATGATTTTCAGTTTGTTTTAAACGGGCCTACACCAATGAAGAACCACCAGTCAGCACAGCTATGAGTGCAGAATCCAGCCCATGAAACAGGCCGAGCCCCGGCCGCTGCAGGAAGAGCCAAAGGCTGGCTCAGGGGCAGGCCTGGGGCATGGGACTCCAGGAGACAGCGCAGGTTTCTGAGGAAGCAAGATGTTAAAATAAACCTAGGGGAGAATTCCATTTCCCTTGCACATCCTGGCCTCTGCCCTACACGTGCAGGAGTTCATTCAGAGCGACCCTATGGCCGGGAGACATCCTGAACATCTCTTTACCTGACAGTGCCAAGGTATGGATTTCTCAAGTACTCCATTCCTTCTAAAATGAATTCCTTCCTCTAGGCCAACAGATTTTATAAAGTAATAATGTACAGGACCGACGCTCACAAATGAGCATCTGGTGTCCTTATTTCATAGCTCCGTCCACTTCTCAGCTTTTAGGACTGTGTTGTGTTCCCAGTCTGCCTGAAGCTCCCTGCCTTTCCATCACCATGAGTCGTAAACTCTGCAGGGCAGAAATTCATGTGCTTCTAAAGCCCCAAATCACTCCTGCAATCCAAATAATGAATGAACACTTCCACCAGGGACAGTAAACTCTAATCTGTTTCTTGGGGGCAATTGCATCCCAGGAATATGTTTGTTCTATATACGAAAAACTCTTAAGCCAGCAAATGGTTCAGGGTCCCTAATCAGTGCTTCCACAACATGCTTGCTCAAGTCTTCTGAAGTGAGAGAGCATTGCTCAGCCAATAACCACAGAATCCAGCAGAAATTCCAGCAAAAGCTATTCTATTCATGGAGGGAAAGGCAGAGTACAAACCAGGCAGAAAACCCAAACCACTGGGATTTTCAAAGGAAACTCCCAGGACAACCCACACAATGGGATGGGGTCAACAATGAATTGATCCCCCTTCTCATCACAAGGAGGTCTATTCAACCAGGCCTCTCTTTTCAGCATTAAGCTCTGCGTAGCCACCCCATTATGCCACCTTCCCCAACTTGTCCCTTACTTGAGCTATAAAAAAGAGAAATCAACAAAGAATCATAAAGATTGAATTTCCCTGTATGAACTCCTAGTACCTCCCTCTGGAAGCTAAATCCAGACATTTCAATAGAAAGAAGGGATTTTAGACTTGATTTATGTGCAAATCTGAACACTTGAATCTGAAGTCACTAAGGAACCTCCACACTCATCTCTGGCTGTGGGCTTGGCTTGGTTTCAAAGTCCTGTGCTTAGGTGCAAAAGGGCATTTGCTTTGTATTTAAAACCTCGTGGGACTGCAAAACCCAAGGGGTCATCATATATGCAGCAGAAGGAGAAGCTTCAAGCAAGCTCAAGGGCATCAGAAACAAACATGTCTTTACTGTGACAAGCTCTGTCTGCCTCTGGATAGCGATACGCTCAGCAAATGAATGCATTCAGAAAAGGGAACGAGCAAGGAAGGGGCGAGGCATAAGTAGAATGTATCTGAAAGTCAAACTGCTTCCTGCTTGGTCCAGAGTTATTGAACATCAAGACAGAGGGAAAGGTGGGCTGTAAGGTCAAAAACCGGCAGCTGTCTTTAATAGGCATGTTCCTTTTGTGTGGTGCTGCAGCTTCCCACCAGCCGCACTCCAGGAGCCTCGTCATCCAAAACTCTCAGAGCCTTTTTTAATTATTAAATTTAACGTCTCACTGACAAGGAGGCGTGAGGTAATACTTTTATTCCCAGTTAACTGATGGAGAGATTGAGTAACCAGAAAGCTAAGGTAGTGAGCAGGAAATGTGGCGAAAAGAAACTCAGGGAAGCTGCCACCCATCTGCCCACTGAGCTTACTGCTGCTCAACTCCTTCATTTTCTTCTCCACTGGTTGCTTCTAGGAGTCCATTTTCATTCCTAAGTAGCTCTAGAAAGTGGGAAATGCCAGACACGATCTTATCTGGAATGTAAAATTTACAGTGTAAAAACCTACAAAGGTCCAAAGACAACCTCTTAGTAACAAATTCAGTCTTTGTAATAAGTTCAGTCCTTCCTGGAAGATGGCTGGTCTGTAAAGGATACAGTAATGAAGACAGGAAATTACGTTTCCCAACCACCTTTTGAATTCTCAGAGATAAAAGCCTCCCAAAATCTAAACCATGGTTCACTTAACTTAGAGAAATAGTGAAACACTGCCAGGGATCATTAAATTCATCTCACCAAATCCCTCATTTTCTCTTTCCTATTTAACTCTCCAGGATTTTCCCATAGAAGCTAGAAGAGTTTGTTTTTCTCTTATGCCTGTACCCTAAAGAAAATTGAGAAGCCAAGTCAATGCCCGAAATGCAGTTTCCATGTGAAAGATCATGGCTTTCCACAGACCATGGGAACTGCTGTATGGAAGCAAATGGGGTCCCTTCCACTTACTGTCCTGCCTGTGAAGGCACCAGCCAACGTCAGAGAGAGTCTTCTAGGCTTGAGAAATTAAACCTCTGTTTGCTTTGATATTTGTTGTGCTATACTAAACAGTCACATCAGGTGCTACAGAAGAAGGTATGAGCATCTTAGGTACTTAGGGATATGGTTTAGGGGGTAGACAGGAGCGGTTGGACGTGATGATCTCAGAAGGCTTTTCCAACCGAGCGATTCTGTGATCCTGTGATCTGTCCAGGAGAGAAATGCAAAGAAAATAATCTACCCTACTACTACATTTCATCCTGATCTCTACCAGCTCAGTCCTGAGGGATAAATGCAGTATCACTTTCAGTTATCCGAAACCTGGCTCGTCTGGAGATGCACAGAACAGCCCAGCCCATTCTGAATTTTAATACACTTCTATCCTTGATGCTTCCTCACCTGAGTGAGTCAAATAGTTAAAGCAGGGTTAAAAGAGAAGGCTGAGGGGAGACCTCATCACCACCTCCAACTGCCTCAAGGGAGCTTGTAGAGAGGTGGGTGCTGGTCTCTTCTCCCAGGTGATGGGGGATAGAACAAGGGGAAACGGCACCAAGCTGTGCCAAGGGAGGTTCAGGTTAGAGAGAAGGAGGAAGTTCTTTACTGAGAGGGTCGTCAGAAGCTGGAACAGGCTGCCCAGGGAGGTGGTGGAGTCACCATCCCTGGATGTGTTTAAGGAGCGGGTAGACGAGGTACTTAAGGATATGGTTTAGGGGGTAGACAGGAGCGGTTGGACGTGATGATCTCAGAGGGCTTTTCCAACCGAGCGATTGTGTGATTCTGTGAAAGAAGGAGTGCTTCACTTACTGTTTGCCTCCTTGTTCTTCCTGTGAGACCGGGAAAATAGGAGCTCCTGACCAAACTTTTTTTGTCATTTCTTTTTATTCTTCTCCTTTCCAGAATAAACCATGACAATCTTTTTTTATTACTCTGCTGTGGGAAGTTTTCCATATGGCGCTGTCCTGTCAGACCTCTCTTAACTGCCTCTTATTCTTCAACAATCTTCCCAAGAAGGACCAATACTGCACCTGGTACTTCCAGATGAAGCCGCATCCCCCATTTCAATAAATGCATTACAATATTCTTTCAATTACCCCTCAGGCAGTGTCCTGCAGTATCCAAGCTGCATACTAAGCAGAATTAGGAACCAAATAACAAGGAAAAGAACTTCCCGTAAGTAATATTTTGAACACAACAAATTAAAACATCCACCCCGTCACCCCTTCACCAAGCACAGTGGGATCTCCCCAAGGAGACTGCACAGACCCACCTGGCCACCATGGCTGGAAATAACATTGTACCATGTGCAAGTCTGCAGTTTACAAAGCTCTCCCTCTCTCCAGCTTCTTTATTACAACACTGGCCCAGACAAGAAGCCCTGGTGCACCAGCCATTAGCTTTTTCCTGTAACGAAACTTATTAGTTTCATTTTGTTCTTTGTTTCATCTCTTCTTCTACAAGTTTGGATCCAAATTTTGTTTCTTTTTGGAAGCCTATTATATACCAGAGGTCTTCAGGAAGTCTAAGTAAATTGTCAGCCTCCTTATCTATTAGTCCTTTACACGTCATGTAAATAATTTTAAGAAAGAAAGATGTGCTTTTCCTTGGTAGAGAAAAAAAAAGAAGGAGTCAGTTAGAACCTCCTATATCATCATTTCCCAGGTGCTTTACTGCTTATACCTAATTACCGTTTCAATCAATTTCTCAAATGTTCATGTAGAATTTATGGCTCTTCAAATCCTTGAATCATGTCCAAATCCTTTTTAAATATAGGTAATAACATTTGCTACCCACTAATTGTTCTAAATTCTTTCTATTTTAACTCCTAGTTTGTATCACAGGCTCTTCAGACAGTGCCATTTCGGAGAACATGATCTTTATTACAAGTAATAACTACTAGTAAAAGCACCAGAACTAAAAGCTTACTCTTTTATAGAACATTTTTAAGAAAGTTTGTAGATAAATTTCCCTTTTATTCTTATTGCA